CCGCCGTTTTCCTATAGATGGCTTTAGCGGTAAGTGGTGGTCGAAATAAATAGATCATAGACGTCATACAATAAACTTAGGCATCTGTCAACATAACTCCATAGAAACAGTCGATTTGTGTCTGCATCATAAAGTTATTCTCGATTGAAAATGTCACTTTACGAGCCAAATTCTCGTCATTTGAGGGAGGTTTTAATTTTCTGCTTCAATATGAAAAAATCTGCGGCTGAGGCTCATAGAATGCTCTCAAATATTTATGGTGAGGCCGCTATTAGTGAAAAAACGTGTCGTGAGTGGTTCCAATGCTCCACGAACGGTGATTTTGACGTCGAAGACCGGCATAGTGGTGGAAAAGAGAAGGTTTTCGAAGATGCAGAATTGGAGGCGTTACTTGATCAAGACTCGTGTTAAAATCAAGAAGAATTGGCGCGACCATTGGGAGTGACTCAACAAGCCATTTCAAAACGCCTCAAAGCCATGGGAATGATTCAGAAACAAGGAAATTGGGTGCCGTACGAGTTGAAGCTGAGAGATGTTGAACGGTGTTTGTTTGCTTGTGAACAGCTGCTTGAAAGGCAAAGACGGAAGGAACCCCCTCCCTCCACCACTTTCCCTCCCATCCCTTAATTCCTCTCTATCTTCATCCTATTTCCACCATTCTCCTTCTATCCACACCCCCCTTGTCTCTCCCCCTCTCCTTCATTATCACCTGTCTTATCATCCATTTGTTTTTGAGTCCTGATTCGAAATCAGCAACCCCTAAATCCCCCTTATATGAAACTTCACCAAAATCGGAAAACCTTTAAGAATTCTATCGGCCATATTGGTTCAGCCATTTTGAATTTTCAAATTTTGAAGACTAATTCGAAATCATCGACCTCTAAATACTCCTTATACGAAATTTCATCGAAATCGGAAAACCTTTAAGAATTCCGTCCGCCATATTGGTTCAGCTATTTTGATTTTTCAAATTTTGAACCCGGATTCGAAATCAACGACCCCAAAATCCCCCTTATACAAAATTTCATCGAAATCGGAAAACCTTTAAGAATTCCGTCCGCCATATTGGTTCAGCCATTTTGAATTTCGAAATTTTGATCATCATTCGGAACGAGCGACCCTTAAAACCTGTTGTGCCGCTCCACGGCACGGTTCGGGATCCACGAAGGACTCGGGAATGGTCTCACAATATAAGCACCTTTATATAGTCTTTTAGAAAATATATATCTATTCTTTTAATTTCACAATACACAAGTATGGTTTACTTATAGTCACCACCTCATTTAGCGGTACTCGCGTAGTAATAAGAACTCGGCGCGATGCGTTACGTCTCTTTATTGACCGAATTT